AGGCCCTGTCTGGGCTAGAGTGGCCTCCCAACCGTGGCCCAGCAGGCCTGGCTATGCTGGAACAGCCTTCTCTCCTTCATCCCCATGGCTCAGTGTAGTGGGCCCGGTTGGGTACAGCTTACCTGGTAAGCATCACCATCAAATCAACAGGTCTTCAGCCTAGTTATGCTCACCAGGTAACCGGTTAACCCTTTACATCCCTACTCTCCACTGTATGCACACTACATACACTATGGTACTTGGCAAGTGGGTAGAGATAGGTCACACTTTAAGCCTTTGGCAACAATATCCCACGTGAATTCAATAAACTTTCACAGTCATGATGAAGTCCTTGAATTTTTAAGAGCAGAAGTAATTGTTAGGCCTTACGCTGTGGTTAATTGTTTACCTGAAAGAACCCTTCACTGTGCTTTGCCAACTTTCAGGAATCAGAAAGCAAAAGTGATTAGCCTTCAGTGCCTCAGGAATGTGGCTAGGAATATCAGCTCTTTGCTTGGGTGGATAAGAATCATGCGAAAATAGTGAACTCTGCAATATGATTTCACTGCTGTTTACTTCTACTCATCTAAACCCCTGTTCAGCACCGGCTTTAAGCCTGTCTAATTTTCAACAGTGAATGAAGATTCCCATTAAGACCGTTTGCTTCCTTTATTTAACAAAAAAGGAAAAACTGCCCACTCTGATTTGTTTGCCGACGTCTCTGTACCAGCTGCCACGTTGGCACCGGGCTGGGGATACTTTCACTGGAACATGGATTCCCTTGGGATGCACATCTATATGCTGTGGCTAGATGCCTGCTGCCAGGGGCTACTCAGGAGGATGATTGCATCTCTGGGGTGACCTACACGTGTTCCTTCATGGCCAGCCATGCTGACCTCTCTGTGCAGGCTCCCTGGTGATGAGGAGGGCAGTGTGCTGGATGTGCTCTCTGCCAGTGAGTATGGTGCTAGAAGCCAGAGCAAAGGGGGTAACCTTTTTGTGTAGAGAATTGGAGAGGCGTATGGCAGGAAATAGGAAAGCTCACCAACAGATTTCCGGGAAGGCAGGCAATCCAAACAGCCTTGGGCGAAGTTGTACGCAGCATGCTCAGGGTTAATGCAGCCCTATCGGCTCAGAGCCCATCTTGGGGAGCGTTGCATGTGATGTGAGCAAGCTGTGGGAAAGCAGCGCTGCTATTGGTCAGAGGAGGCAAAGGGGGAAAACCTGCTGCTTAATTTAGACAGTGACAAATGAGTTGCTGTGCAGGATGCCTCGCTTTTTGTCAGGTATGGGGAGTGATGCAGAAGCTGCAAAAGGCAAATGTCTTTTCTGTCCAGATCTTCAGCAGCGAAGCATCAGGAGCAGCAGCTCATCTGCCACTACGGTCCTGACATGCAGCTTCACAAACCAGACTGTACAGGCTGGTTGGGGGATGAAGATCTTAACCATGTGTCATATTAAAACGTAAAGTCCCTCCCCCACCCCGCCCTCATTCGTGTACCATTTCCACAGCCTGTTGTTCTTTTTCACACTTGCTTCAGCACTCTGGGCGCTTCAGATGTGGCGCTGTTATGGATGGTAAATGCTATGGAGAGTAAACATGTGGGGGTGTATCGTTAGACTGAGCTGGCCTGGTCAGAGCTCGTGCGAGACAGAAAAGGTGTGTTGGAATATAACCCTTCCTTAGCGGGTGCAGAGTAATGGAGCTTTAGGAAGCCCCAGCGTTTTATATCGCTGTGCGGAAGATGTGGCTTGCTGGGGGCCATGCTGAGCAGGACGTGATGCATTTGGCTTGTGTTGTGCAGAGGAAGGGAAACATTGGTCACTCTAGCCCAAAGCCTGTGTAATTGACTAGGGGCATCTGCTGCTCCGTGTTCCCTATGTAGTGCCACTGAATCCACATAATCCTGGACCCTGCAGCCTAAGTGCCCCTGTAACTCCTTTACTTGCTGGCCTATTCTGGGCCAGTGTATCGCCTGGGCCATAGCAGAGCATGCCTTGCGTTGCTGCTGAGCCTAGCCACGCAGTTCTGTATTTCCCTAGCGCGTGTTGCACAGGCACGAGTGAGTGGCTTTTGTTTGTAGAATGTTCATGAACAAAGGGTCTCCTGCCCTTAACCCCGTCTATATTTATCTCCTTTCTCCTTTTGTAGTAGCTGCGTGAGAAGTGCTAGCTTGCTATATTTACAAACAGCTGTTTCGCCAGAGGAGATAAACATTTCTGTTAAAAGGCAACTATAGTCTAGTAGGACAGCACACGCTATTAGCTCACTGTGACCATAGCACAGTCACTCAACAGCTCTGTGAATTGGAGCTAACGATGCTCGCTCACCTTTGTAAAGAACTTGGGGTCCTGCTGAGGGAAAGCCAGGTTAAGTATGAAATGTCATCATTGCTGTCAGTACAAAAGAATACTGTATTTCTAATGTTTGAGTAATCTGAAGGGCGGCTTTGCTTAACTGGGCAGAATGGATTTTCTAATCATAATAAAAATCAAAACTTAACTGCGAGTTGAGTCCAGTCCTAGGATAGGAACAGCACAATCGGAACGTTTTGCCTTATTCAACCTCTGCAAAGATGGAAGCTATTAGTAGAACTGCGGGTTAAAATTAAGAGGTGATAAGTGAGTGGCATTTGTATATTGAAGACCATGGAAGCTGATGGAGGTTTGAGGTGGCATGTTACCTGAAGCAGAGACTTGGAGGGAACTGTTACTACCCATCAGTTTGTCATTGCAATGGTATCTTCTGCAGCCACTCCTTAGACTTTGCCCTCTGAGGCAAAGTCATCTTGAAATCTTGATGTTGCGTGTCTTTGTAACACAACATCAGGAGGCTCAGACATATGTTACCATGTCAAAATCTTATGTTGGTCTCAAATTTCCTCTCTCTTTCTGGATGGCAACTGTTCAGCATCTGCTCGGTGCTTTTCTTTATTTGGACTGTTATCCATAAAGTTAATGGTCCATTTCAGGCCTGATTCTCCTCTCATTTTCACCAGCATAAATCTGGAGTACCTTTATTGCAAGCCATGGATTTGTACTGGGGCAAACTGACAGGCGGTGGGAATGTCTCATGGATCCTCAGTCTGTCCATTGAGTTTGCATTGTGACAATCAGTGACCTGTTTGAGATGCCTGAAGAGTTTGATTGGGCAGATATTCCTTCAGGTGCCTTGATTGGGCTGAAATGTCTTCATTATTCTGTTAATGATCCTCGCATTCAACTGCCTGATGTCAGGGCTAGGATGTGATATTCAGCTCAGAGGTTAAGATATCAAGTTAGATCCCAGCACCCTCCAATACCATTTGCAGCCTCCTTCCTAATCAGGTTTCTTTCTTGCTATTATTCTTATGGACCCTCCAACATTCAAATTGTGCTCGGGGCACCGTCTGGGGGAAGTCTGCAATTCTTCACTGGGCCCCAGCGTATCCTCCTCTTCAAATCTCACAG